TGCGGGGGGAGAGGGCAGCATGCCGGAGAGCAGGGTGGGTCCTGGGAGCTGCCCAGCCCCTCAAGTCCCTGCAGCCTAGGGCTCCTGCAGGTGCTCTGGTATAGGCCCAGGCTTCTTTGGCAAGGGAAGTTCTTGCCTTGAGGATACTGAATGAGAGGTTTCCTTCTTCTGATGTTGCCCAGCCTTTTATAGTCCCTTTGTGCTGTCAAACCCCTCCTGAGTTTATCTCTGCCCAGCTCCACCTCCACCTGGCCTCCATTTTTAACTTCCCACGGAGGTCCAGGGATTGTGGCTAGAGAGACATGCTGAAGGTAAAAATATATGTGTGAGTCCTCCCTAAAAATCCTGGCCACATCATTTCCATCATCATCATGGTTACTGAGCACATTTACCGAGCTCTTGCCACAGGCCAGGTATCTAGGGAATACTTATTGTACAGCATGATGCAGAACTCTAGAGTGGGTGACACATGCCTGTAATCCCAGTAACTGAGGAGGATAAGGCAGGAGGATGCAAGTTCAAGGCCAGCCTCAGCAACTTAGTGAGGCCCTAAGCAATTTAGTGAGAACTTTTCTTGAAATAAAAAATAAAATAAAAAAAAAATGAAGATGTGGCTTGGTGGTTAAGTGCCCCTGAGTTCAATTCCCAGTACCAAAAAAAAAAAAAAAGAATATTCAAATCCCAGGTCTTAGAAGGAATCAGCCGCCAAGCAAGCCTGCAGCATACCTCCAGAACTGTGCTCTGACCTCCTGCCTGCTGTGGTACTGCCCCCAAAGGAGACATTTTGTCTCATGGCCAGGGGACCTCTGAAGCCCTCTTATGCAGTTCATGCAAACTCTCCCTCAACTTGGAGCCTCTGGCTTGTGACTTCCTGCCAGAGGTAGATTCTTTCCTTGGCCTGGACCTGCTGACCTGATGTTTCCATTCCCTCCTCTGGCTCAATGAGGCATGTGTCAGGTAGAAATCCTGATGCTCTCCCACCCAGGTCCTCAAGTCCCCACTTGCTGGGATGACCTGGGCTGGGATTTGAGCCAAGTCAGTATTCCTGCTAATTCCATGCTCTCTCTATGCCTCTGCAGAGGGACAATCGCCCTTCCCCCGCTGAGACAATTTAATGGGATGCTCATATCCTGCAAGTGCTCTGGGTTTGCATAGAGAGCTGGTGTACAGGACAGTTTGTACTGACAATGGCCTGCGCCACCTCCAACCAGCCTCTCCACCCAGGGCCCCTGGCACCCTCTAAGGGACTTCCAGTGTGGAACCAGGGCACACCTCAGGCTCTGGGTACCACCAGAAGATGAGCAGCTTCTTTGCCCACAGTTCCCTCATCTTGGGGACCCAGAGGGTCAAGAGGGCTAAGAATCCGGCCTGGAAAGATTAGATCCTAGGTGGCTGATTCCGAATCTCTTGACATCATCCAATCCTCAGCATTAGCATGACGCCAGGTACAAACAAAGGGGCAGTAAACCTTTGAGCCTGATCCTCTGCCCAGGGCCAGGAGCGGGTGGTTTCCATTGTGGAAGCCACAGACCCATTGCCACAGGGTTTATGCCTAAAAGAACCAAAGACCTCATGAATGGAGTGCTTTGTCATGCTTAGGGCCGGGAAGACCTTCCCCAAACTCCTTACTTGCTAAAGGAGGCATCTCAGGTGAGTAGGATTGAGAGAAACAAGTCTGACTATGTCCCCCCAAGCCTTCCTCTGTCCCCCAAGGGAGAAGGGCTTCTGCCATTCTCACAGCCTGATTCATGGGAGCCACACATGGTTCAAACTTCCTGACTCTGCATTTTATTATCTCCTTTTCTCCATGTGGTCCCCTAACTCTGGGGGAGAGGTATTTCAACATGGCAGATGCAAAAGGTTAGATGCCCTTGTCATCAGTTAGGGTGTTGAATGGCCCCCTGGAAGGGTGAAGGGGATCTCAGGTCGGCCCTGGGAGGCTCTTTTTTGTTGTTGTTCTTTTTAGATATACATGAGAGCAGAGTGCCTGGCAGCTTCTTGACTTATGCCACATTAAGGAATTTCAGGATGCATCAAAAGAGGCATAGAGATTTATTTAGGAAAGTTAAGTGATACAGCAGGATACACAGGGAGAAGGGCTGAGGGAGCCCAGAGCCAGGTGAGCGTTTGGGGACCTGGGCTCTTCGTTTATAGGAAACTTTGTAAATAATGAACATGAGCAGTACGTGCAGGTGCCATAAGCCTGGTGAGCTCAAATCTCTTGATCATGGAGCACCTGCGGGTTATGGTGGGCTGGTTCTCTTAGGATCTCCAGGTTGATATCATCCAGTCAACAGATAATGTCTGGAACATGCCCACGTCATAAGCCTGTAACTTTGGCTTTGTATACAGTCTAAAGAAAATGCACAGTGGGTACAGGGGCACACACCTGTAATGCCAGTGACTGGGGAGGTTGACACAGGAGGATCGCAAGTTCAAGGCCAGCCTGGAGGAAACAGGATTAAGGTTACAGTTTCTTTTCCCTTCCCTGTTAGTCTCCTTTATACCTATCCTTTCTTCTATCCTTCCTCACCAGGGGTGCAAGCTGCTTAGTAACAGCAACTGAATCTCAAGTCCAACCTGGGCACCAACTGCCTCCTCTGTCATGTCTTCCATTACTTTGTTTTTTACAGAGCAACTCCTGGGCCAGATCATCGCAGGCGCTAAGAGGGGGAAGAGGAATTTCTTTACCTTGTTGAATCTGCCCTTGTTCTAATCACAGTTACAACTGGGTGAATGCAACTGATTTTTTTTTTCCTAGCAGACCCTCATCATTGTTCCCACCTTTTTCCCCCTTCTATTTATTTGTTCCCACTTTTAACCAAAGGGACTCAAAAATTATTTTCCCTCCCTTTGTTGGCTTCTGTCATTAGACTCAGTGCATATCTACAGAGCTTCTGAGTCAGACAGCATGGAAAGGGCAAAATAAAAATACCAATTGGTCGATAATAGAACAGGAGAGCTTCTAAGTGCAGAGGGGGAGGACACTGGGAAAGGCCAGCTGGAGATGACGAGGGCTGGGTTTTGAGACAATGCAGGTGGCTGGCTCCTCCTGGTTGGTGGAGACCAGGAAGGAGCAGCAGGCCCAAGATCCTGCTTTTGTCCTGTCTTGGCCAGTGCCCATCCTGAGCCTTCTGTTCTTTAAGAAGCTGGCTTGCTGGACACACTGTGGATATATGAGAGGCACTTGCAAGGAACTCCTCAGGCTGGCCATTTGCTGGTCCCTCAACCTCTGTGAACAAAGCTTGCTGAAAACAGGTCTTGGCAACCATATCTTCTCCACAACACTGTACTGATTGATCCTCTCTGTTTAGGCTTTTTGTGGCTGATATTGATTGTTGCTTTTATTGGCAAACAGTATACTAAAATAAAAATAAACACAAGTGTTGGTGCAAAGAAAAAAAAAAAAGTTAAGTGCTTTCTGTGTCTCCTCGGTGGAGAAAAGTCTTGCTCAGAGATCCTGTTGGTCATCCTGGTCTCCCATGCTCAGTGTACCTCTGCAATTAGGATGTTTGTCTGTCTGTCTCCCTCTTCTCACAGGGCGGGTGGCTGTGGTCTTCCCCACATACCCTGGGTGCTTGGCTCTCGATTCACTGCTGCAGGCAGACATTGAGGTAGAATGTCCAGGAAGCAGTCATTTCAGGGCTAAGCCAGCAGCCACACCTCTCTGCTCATTTCCACATGCAACTGCCCCAGCTGGCCAGTCACCACCATTTGGGGTTAGGGGTTTGGTTCCAGAAAGGCAGGCAGCAGCATCAACAACTATTACTACATAGCCAAAGAATATTTGCAGAGAGTTGTCCTGTCATGTTCAATGTCTAGGCCAACTGTTCCCACAAGCTTAGCCAAGTGGTGCTGTATTTGTGTGTGTGTCTCTGTGTGTGTGTGTGTGTGTGTGTGTGTGTGGTGCTGGGAAGCTGGGGAGCTGGGGATGGAACCAAGGTCCTGAAGCAGGCTAGGCGAGCTGTCTACCACTGAGCTACATTTCCAGCTCCTGTATTATCATTCTTACTGGCATTAGCAGAAGGAGAAATTAGGGCTATCGATGGCAATCTGGAAGAACTAGGATTTGTGCCTGGGTTCAATTTCTGCATCTGCAAAATGGAAATAATACCTACCACTAAGTTTGTTGGGAGAATCAAATAAACATTACCTATGTATTTACTTGCTTATTGGGGGCAGGGACTTTGGCTCGTTCATCACTCAGAGCCTGAAACAGTGCCCTGTGCATAGTCCGGATGTTCAATAAACATTTATGAGCAAATGGAAGTGACAGAAGTCTAGGCCAGAGTATCGTCTTTCTATAACCTCGGTTTCCCAGATCTGTCTTCCACGCCAGGGAGACCCGGCTTATAGAAGCGTCAAGCTGGAAGTGGTGGGGGACTTACTTCTGGCCTTGGCACAAAGACAGCAAAAACCCCAGGAGTGAGGAGGCCAGAAAAGTCTCCAAGAGGCGGCTGAAATGCCAGCCTAAGCCCTCAGGTTCCCTTTTTCTAAACCAGGAAATGCACGTTTCTTGCCATGCCTGCAGAGAAGGGCCAACTGCCCAGAGCTCAGTTGCAGAGAGCTGGAGCCTGGGAAGAAGCCGAGCATGCCCAACCCGGTGAGCGGCTGAACTGGAGCGGCGCGGCCGGGAGAGCATAGCTGGCTGGGGGACGGGTGACCTCCACCAGCGCGAAGCGCAGGGACGGGCGGAGAGCGCCAGCCCGGAGCGGAGGCGGAGGGCGGGGCGGACGCCCGCCCGCGGCTCCCGCGCTCCCGCGAGGCTCCACCTTAAGCGCTCAGACCCCCCCAAAGGCGGGCGCTCGCGCGGTGCCCGGGGGCGGGGCCTAGAATGCAAACGAGGGGCGTGGTCGCGGGCGGGGCGGGCGGGGCGCTGACCTGACGTCAGGCCCGCGGCCCGGGCAGTTGGCTCGGCGGCGGCGGAGCGGCAGGAGCGGCGGCGCCGAGCGGGCCGCGCGGCGGGGCCCGGGGAGCGGCGGCGTCGGAGCCGGAGCAACATGGCGCCGGTGGGCGGGGGCGGGCGCCCGGGCGGCGGGCCGGCCCGAGGGCGCCTCCTCCTGGCGGCGCTGGTGCTGCCGGCGCTGCTGTGGGCGCGGGGGGCCCGGGGTCAGGGCAGCCCCCAGCCGGGCATGATCCTGGGCATGAGGCTGGCGAGCTGCAACAAGTCGTGTGGGATGAACCCGGATGGCATCATCTTCGTGTCCGAGGGCAGCACGGTGAACCTGAGGCTGTACGGCCAGAGGCTGGGCGAAATCTCCAGCAACCTGATCTCCTTCACCGAGGTGGACGACGCCAACACCGCCCACAACTCCACCAACTGTCTCGAGCTCACCAAGGACCTGGTCGTCCAGCAACTGGTCAACGTGAGCCGCGGGAACACGTCCGGGATGCTGGTGGTGTTCACCAAGTTCCTCCGGAGGAGCGAGAACATGAAGCTTTATGCGCTGTGCACCAGGACCCGGGATGACGGGCCCTGGCTCAAGTGGACAGACAAGGACTCGCTGCTGTTCATGATGGAGGAGCCCGGGAGGTTCCTGCCGCTCTGGATGCACATCCTCCTCGTTTTGGTGCTGCTGGTGCTGTCGGGCATATTTTCTGGCCTCAACCTGGGGCTTATGGCCCTGGACCCCATGGAGCTGCGCATCGTGCAGAACTGTGGCACTGAGAAGGAGAAGAGGTATGCCCGCAAGATAGAGCCCATTCGGCGCAAGGGCAACTACTTGCTCTGCTCCCTGCTCCTGGGTAACGTGCTGGTCAACACTTCCCTCACCATCCTCTTGGACAACCTCATTGGGTCTGGCCTCATGGCTGTGGCCTCCTCCACCATTGGCATTGTCATTTTTGGGGAGATCTTACCTCAGGCCCTGTGCTCCCGACATGGGCTGGCCGTGGGTGCCAATACCATCGTTCTTACCAAATTCTTTATGCTGCTCACCTTCCCCCTCAGTTTCCCCATCAGCAAACTCCTGGACTTTTTCCTAGGCCAGGAGATTCGCACTGTTTACAATCGGGAGAAACTGATGGAGATGTTGAAGGTGACAGAGCCCTATAATGACCTCGTGAAAGAGGAGCTAAATATGATCCAGGGTGCTCTGGAACTACGGACCAAAACTGTGGAGGATATCATGACCCAGCTCCAAGACTGCTTCATGATCCGCAACGATGCCATCCTGGACTTCAACACGATGTCGGAGATTATGGAAAGCGGCTACACTCGCATTCCTGTGTATGAAGATGAGCAGTCCAACATCGTAGATATCCTGTATGTCAAAGACTTGGCCTTTGTGGACCCTGATGACTGCACCCCCCTCAAGACCATCACCCGCTTCTACAACCACCCGGTACATTTTGTCTTCCATGACACCAAGTTGGATGCCATGCTGGAGGAGTTCAAGAAGGGTAAGGACTGGTGCAGCACCCAGCTCTGCTGCCTCTTCTCCTGTGTGTTTTGTGTCTGCTGATTTTAGTGTCCCCTTGGTGTGGCCCTGTGTCCCTTTGCCCATCACTTCCTATGTCTTTGAGGCAAATGGTATTAGGCACAGTGGAAACAGTTCTCAAGGGTCTCCCGTCTGACAGGTACTGTGCTTTGGTGTTTTGGATGAATCAAAGTCAAAAAAGGCTTGCTCCGTTGTAAGGATAGAGCAAGGACAGAGTAAGACCGGGGCCCAAAAAGAGGCCAGCATCAGGCTGATGGAGGTTTAGATGGCGATGGAAGGGGCTGGGGAACTGCGCAAACCTTCACAGGGGATGGAGCATTTGAGGGGATCCTTAAAAGGTGGAGTGGCTTGGAGAGGGAATCCCACTAGCAGAGCTCTAGGATGTGCTTATGGCCGGGAAGTTGGGGGCATAATGGTCAGTGGGGGGAGAACTGGAGGAGTTGGGGTCTGAGGAAGATGGTAAGTTTGGAGCTTGGAGCTTGAATGGTTTTTGAGCAGGGCAGGATGTCACCAGAGCTCTGCACCCTAGACTCAGCAATGGGAGGTCTCCAGTTGGCTCCCTGCTCAGAACAATGCCAAATAACGCTTTCCACTATTCAGCAGAAGCAGGCAGATTAAGTTTGGGTCATTGTCCCGTCTTTCCCAGGCGCCAAGCATAAGCTTGCCTCCTGCGGTCTGCTGGGAATCCCCAGTTGGCCTTGCTGCCTTGGGCTCTCACCCTCTCCCTGGCGTTCTTGGCCAGTGCTCAGGTAATTAGAGAGGCGCTGGGAGGGCTTCCTCCCCTGCCTCAGAACTCAGGGCGCACACCCCTTTCCTTACTTCCCACAGAACTTTCCTCCCACCTCTGTCTCCCAGAAACCCTCAGAGTGGTAGTAAACAAACCAATTATGGAATAAAACCCTAGGCCAGAGGGGGTGGGGAGGCAGAAAGCACTGGGCAAGGGGGCGGGTGTCGTCCTAAACCTTGGGGTTTTGCTTCTTAAACTCAGTTCCAACTTTCTTCTCTAGGTAGAGCTGCTCCTGGCTGAGGCTCAGGCAGAACCACTTCTGAATTAGCTGCAGGCACTCCTGGGGTCATTTCTGGACCAGAGAGTAGACAGCCTTGGAGTGGATAAGGGAGGGAGGAGCTGGCCTTGCCAAGTTCTGAAAAGATGCTGGGTCAGGGTCATGGTCCAGGCCAGCAGGGCAGATTGGTACCCTCTCTTTTTAAGTTTGCCAGAGTGAATCTCAGTGTCAGAGCTGAGGAAAACTTGAGTAATATGAGCCAGACTGGGAGACAGCTTGGGAGGAGGCTGCTCTGCAGAGAGACTGGAGGGACACAGATGCCTGGTGATGCAGGCAGAGCTAGGGAGGAGCTTTGCGGGTACAGACCCAGGAACCAGTTTCTCCCAGGAAAGAGCAGTGAGGAGTGTGTCCCACTCTCACTGTGGACCCACAACCTGGGGTCCTGAGGAGTACTCTCCTGTTACTTGGTCAGAAACCTGATGAGGACTGTCCAGCCTTCAGCTTCCTCCTCACTCTCCTTTATAGTTTTTAAGGCTGTTGCTGGTGACATACCCACCAGCACCTCCCCATCAGGTCATCCAGATCTGGATCCAACCAGTATGGATTGGCCTCGCCAGGCTTCCAGCCCTTGATCTGCAGGGCCAGCCTCTTGAGTGGGAGCTTCCTCAGGTCTTGGGGAAGGAATGCCCTTTCATGAAGCTGGGGAAATTGAGCTGGCACCTCTGAGGCCATAGTTCTCCTGAGCTGCACTTTCCAGATTCATGGTTTTGGGCCACTGGACTCTTCTTAACACAGGCCTGGGACCTGAGCTGAGCCTTGGAGGGATGCCAGCACTGCCCAGGAAAAGCAGGCTCAATCTACACGCGCAGCAGGCCACCTGGAGCTGTGTGTGAGTCCTGGTCCTGGGCCTCAAGATATCCCTTTGTGGTTCCCAGAGGCTTTGGAAGAAGGTTTCTCCCAGAGTGGCCTCTCCCAGATCTTTGCATCTGGCATTTACCTCTTTATCCTGAGGCCACCTGGGAAGCAACTGAAAAGATATTTGTTATGTGCTTAGTGTTAAGGAGACTTCTTTTTTGGCTAAGAAAAATAAGTGAGCCAGGTTTGCACCGCCTACTTGTCAGCAGCACTAAAATAAGCTGGGCTGGAGGAATTGCGGGTCTTTCCTGGACCCTGTACCTCCATCATCTCTTTTAGGATCCTTTTTCCCCCAGCCCAACTTGATCAGCTCCTTGAGGGTAGGGGCTCTGTCGTATTAGCGTTTCCACCACTCAGTGCTTGGTGGAGAGGTGGTCTTCCGTAAATGTCTGTTGAAGAAATGAATGAACGAACGAGCTGGTTGACTGTCTGGCAAGCCCTGCTGGCTTCTTGAACACCCCAGGACACTCCTGCCCAGGGCCTTGCCCTAGCTGTTCTCTCAGATGGGACTGCTCTGCCCCAGATGAGGGTGGCTTCTCTCCCCTCCCTCAGACTGGCCTCATCTGCGCCTGTGTGAGGCCTCCTGCCTCCCTCCCTTAAGCTGCCTCCCTCCCTTAAGCCGCATCCCCCAGGCCACTGGACCTGCCCAACCCCTCCTACCCTGTACTGCTTTTCCTATTTCTCCTGGCACACCTCACACTCTAAGATCTATAGTTTATTGACTTTCTGTTTGTCCGTCTCCTCCACTAGATGGAAGTTCCACAGGGCAGGGCTCTTGGTTCTCTTCATTTGTGGATCCATTGTCCCCAGGAAGGCTCTTGGCACACAGTCTTAGTAAGGCCTCAATACAACGTTGCTGAGTGACTAATGATTGAAGAAGTGACCTGTCTAGTTTGGGGGAGAATTATTCCCATTTCAGAAGTGTTAGAATTATAAGGAGCTGATGAGGGGTAAAGGAGATGATGCTGTGCATTACCAGGGGCTCGACTCTGGGCACCAGCAGAGATGGGAGGAGCCCCCTCAGTGACCTGTTAATGATTCAGGGCAGGGGCCAAGAGTGGGATGCCCGGGTCCCCTCCCCTGTGCTTCAGTTTCTCTGCCTGTTAGTGGTCTTTGGCCACTCAGTATTATACAGCCAACCTCAGGGTCTGCAGGGGAGCTGAGCTTCCCCTAGAACTAAGGCCAGAATGATAGTCTCCAGTTGCTTCTGACCCTAACTCCAGGCAGTTAGCATTTGAAGCTTTTGAACCCCATACCCGTGCCAGGCATGGTGCCAGGTGCTGCAGGACCTTCTAAGTGGCAGGGAGACAGCCAGTCAGGCTGCCAAGGCTCCTGAATATGAACCTTGGCCTCCACTGAACCTCGCCTAGAACTGTTTGCAGTACTGGGTGTTAGGAGGTGGCTTGTCCCCTGCATGGAGTTCTGAAACCATGGTGCCTGGTTTCTCCTGGTCCAGTTTGCATTTTGCCTCCACCTCAGATGCTTTTGCAGACCGTGAAACAAACTCACGAGGGAACTTCCCACGTGGGGGGCTCGAGCCCCACATTGAAACCACCTTCCACCTTTTCCTGTACCCACCCTCTGGGACATTCCTGCCCCTCCCAGGGACTTGGCTCTTCTTTTTCCACCTTATCTTTCCCCACCCACCTCATAACCCTCCAGACCACTGTAGTGAGTTGGATGTGAACTCCGCCCAGCCAGAGCTGGGTTTAAATTCCACCGTGCTGGGTCACTGACCTATGAAGTGACCTTGGACCTATTACTGCTCCTCTCAGCATGTTAGTGGGGTGTAATTTGGAGGAGAAAGAAAGCTAGAAATATTTTCATTGAAAACCCCTCCCATATATTTCCATACTTCATGTCAATTTCCCACCTATCTAACTTTATTTCTGGAATATTTTAAGAAAAACACACTGCATGATTTTTGTGCTCACTCTGGGCTCCTGTCTTCTGTCACAGCCTCACTACCATACCCCCCTCACCTACCACCCATCTGCTTGTTCATTCATTTGTTCAACAAGAGTGTAACTTTTTGCAGCCTATGTGGCAGACACTGTGCGGGCTGTTGGGAGTCAGGTGAATAGAAGTCCTATTCACGGAACTCACAGCCTCCCCAGAGACAGATGTAGCTAAGGTTTGGCTCTGCAGAATGCACAGATGGGGTGCAGGGAATTGAGACAGGTGAGGCCTGTGAGATGCTCCTGAATCAGGACAACGGAACCCAGCACAGAGATACGGGAGTCTAGCCCAGGAAGTAGTTGTGACTGGAGGTTTCTGGCTTGAGATTTGGGTCAGTGGTGTCGTCATTTAACGGCAGTGGGGAGGAGGGAAAAGGCAGTTTAGGTGAGGGCCGAAGGGAGAGGGTGCTCCTTCTCTGTGTCCAGCAGCGTCTTCACTAGAGCCTCTCCCACTTGACCCTACTCCAGGACCACCTGCAGACTTGAGATCCATGGATCTGGGGTGTGGCCTGGGAGTTGGCATTTCTGACAAGCTCTCAGGTGGCACTGCCTGGACCACACAGGGGTGCAGATCATTTGGGCAAGTGTGCAGGTGAAGATGCCTGTGTGGGGCTTGGGAGGGAGGCCAGGACCAGGCTGGCAGGTGTCAGAGTCAGCTGAGAGCGTGCAGAACGTGAGAAGGTGTCAAGGATAGTGCTGGGGTTGCCAGCATGGCAAAGCCTGGCAGGCACAGATGGTGGGATGGGACAGTTAAGCCCCAAGGTCTCAGTGACGAGTGGAGAGAGAAGGCAGTGTACATCTGGTGTCTCTCAGCTTCTCTTGGAACCAACCTCCAGGTGGTGATTTGATCTTGAGAAGCCGCCCAGGACAGATGTATCTGAGAGAGTGACAGTTGCTGCCTGCTCCTGGATGACCCCCTGGCCCAGGGCAGAGGTCCCAGCGGGGCAGCTGACGAAGCGCCGGCCAGGCTGCTGCTCACTTTCTCTTAGGTGTGTGCTGTGGGCAGAAGTGGGCCTGGTGGAGTGGCCAGTGTTGTCTTTTGCTGCCTGTGTGCCGGTTCCGACCGAGGATCCCGGGTAGGTGCA